TTTTCTTCTTAGTATTATTTTGTGTTCCTATTGTTACTTTTATATTATCGTCATCGTTCTTTTTTTTCATTTTACTAACAATTATATGTAATGATTTTATGAAATATTTACGTACTTCGAATGATAAATCTATACCTAGTATATGTTTATATAATCAAGCATGTTTTTTAAATAAACAATCTTAAATCTATTGATCTAACTCCGATTTTGAATAGAAATTATTACCACATAGTAAATATGTACATATAATAAATTTTAAAAATATACGAGTTAGTGTTTCTTGAGTAACTTACTGTTTTTACTATGAAGAATATGCATAAAAGACGTTATAGAATATGTTGTTCTTAATTTATTTATTAAGTTTTTGGGATGCCTTCATATGACTTTTTTTATTTTATGTATTGAGCCACAAGCCTAAAAAGCTACGGAAACATTTCAAATGACTATTCCAATATAATTTATTGATGTATATAGTATCTGATGCTATTTCGTTTGATGTTGAAGAGCGTTGAGTATGGCAATACATTCTCTAATGCCTACTCAGTAGTCACTAAAGTCAGGTCAATGAGATCTTAAAAATGAGTTCGTTCCATTTATTATAAAATAAAACAGGATAAAAATATAATTATAATTGTCAACAAAGGTATAAATCTTAACTTCGATAAGTACAATATATAATACTTAATATATAAGTCTTAACTTCGATCTTTTGTATTTTTTTGTCTATTTATCTCGGTATATCTATCGATTGAATTTAATCCTCAATCAGTCCTGTAAGTAATATTTGGCGATTAAAATTGGAGATTTTCGTAAAAAATATACGTTTGTTCAGTCTAAAAATTGCGAAGCAACAAGTGGTTGTATGTTACATGTATATGCCGTTATTATAAATAAGGGAGTGCAACCCCTAGTTGTTCAGTGTGATACCAAACATAACGGGATTCGCACGCCTCTCGATTTCGCGAACGGTGCCCATAGAAAATTTCGCGTATGTTGTTACGTATATATATATAAATAAAATAAATGAAATGTTAATATAAATATTGTTACACTATTGTTGATTTTGTGTTTTTCAAGGTAAGTGTTGGTGTTAATTATAAAAGTATAATTTACTCTCTTAAATATGATGGACTGTGTATACTCCGGATATTGTTTGTAATGAGATCAACTGTTACTGGACAAAATGCAAAGTGGACGTCAGAATAGATCTTTCGCATAATTACCCATAAATCTTGAGACAACTAACAATTTTTAGAATTATTGCAATTACATACATAAAATTGTACTGTACTTGTCAATTATATTATTACAGTAGATAATGTAATAAATGTAAATGTAATAAACATATTAATAAATTAAATGAAATATTGAATTTCTTTTAAATATGCTATATATTTCATCAGACATTATTAGATTACTCAGATTACAGAAAATTGTCTTGTCTATGTCTATTGAGATTCTAATAAGATTCGTTGTTATTTAACTAATAGTATTTCAAGGATATGTTGATAAACTTGTCATATGTTACTCTCTCTGCATGGGATAAGTTAGTACGCGTTTACAACAGCATTAATAGTTGTAATTAAGTTTAAACCTACATAGCCTATAGTAATAAACGTTACATTATAAGGTTCTATTTATACTAAAAACTAGGAGTATTCACACGCTGCAGGCCTTTGTTACTCGCTAACAATGTACATTCATATTTTTATTATCATTATTTATTCAGATCTTTTAAAATTACATTATTTTAAAAACAAACATAATCTTTAAAAACTTAAATAAGTAAACAAAATATTGTAGTATTTGAATCTTTTTTCATTTCTGCAGAACTGTTTACTAATGGGCAAAGACTTACAAAATTTTACATTCTCCTCTTTCTTGAGCCACTTGTTCTACATTACTCCTGCCCCTGCTATTACTGATCATCATCTCATCTCATGTGTGGGGTCTGCCTCTTTATTTTCTTGGGATACCATCTTGTCACGTTCTTATTCCAACTTCATGTACATTCACTTATTTAGTTGAAATGGTCTTTTAAATCCGTGAAATTAATTTTTACGTTTCTTCATTACGAATATCGAATCTTTCCTTTTTATAATATTAGTATTTATAAATTTTCTACAGAAGTTAGAGCGAGATTTAAAATGTTTGAACGTATGTGTATGTATATGTAAAGCTGCATTTTGTCCAGTAACAAGTAACATTTATTTTTATGGTAATTTGTAATACTTATCGTACTATACATTCTGTATAAAAGGATGAAATAAACTTATTAAATAAATGCGTACAATGGCGGCTTGAAAGAGGGATTACGTTCAGTAAATCTTTGAATGACTGAGAGGATTTGTGGAATGGTAGAAACAGGCAGTACAAGAAATAATACGTGTTATAAGCAGCATGCAGTGTGGTAGGTACTTTTATTAGTGGACAATAATGGATTTTATTAGTATTTATATAGTAGTAGTGCATAGTATAGGTATCTTAGCGGTTTATAACCACAAGATTTCTGTTCATCTGCGGTATATATCCAAGGACATTGTGATATATTTATATATTTGACGGCCTCGATGTAATGGATTAGCACACTACTTTACTTCCGATGGTCGCGGGTTCGATTCCTCGCATAGTGCAAACATTTGTATTCATTAGTATGGTTATTTGTATCGATCTGGCCTTTGCTCTTCTATGTAGGTATGCATGTATTTACAAAAAAATATCTAAGTATTTATTTCAGTGGTCTGGTCTAGTACCCATAACACAAATCCTTACTTACCGTGGGTCTAGATGCTTGTGTGTCAATGTACAATTAGTCCCTGGTTATTTATTTATTTATATATTATATATGTGTAACGTAATACAGGAAGTCCTGTTTGACAAAAGCGAGTGTGTGTAATAGCTGGAATTCGTGGAAACAATTTGAAACCGAACAAAAAGGATCAATCAATATTCTGCATGAATGCTTATTTGATGTATGACAATATAAATAATTTAACTCGGAAATATGCAAAATTATATATACATTTTTTTTATTACATTATAGTATAGTTTCATGTATGTATTATACAAGTAGATATATTTTTACATTACTATATTGCTCCTATTAATGACATCTATCAAGTCATTTCCTCATCCAATATACCACAAAGATAAAAGTCTAAATAGTATAATGATGCGACTAAAATACCAATAAGTAGAGATAGCGATTGTACCGGTCATATAGCTCATGTTCATTCATACCCCTATGCGGAAGACGGAAGAAAGTTTCTCGAATGGCGATCTTGTATAGGCAGTCGTAGTTGCCGACGACCCCCGATTGATTGATTGAAATCTCGAAATAATTAATAATAACCCTGGCAATTCACACAGCACCATCTTATTCCAAGTAAATCAGAGCTTGTGTTATGAGTACTAGACGACTAATATAAATACTTTAAAAAAAATCTAAGTACGTACATAACATACGGAGAAAACATTCAGACCAATAAAAATAAACATACTTATGAATACATGTTTTCATCGTGCGAGAAATCGAACCCGCGACCATCGGAATTAAAACAGTGTGCTAAACAGCTGCCATCAATAAATTTACGATAAGATGAGAATGTCATGGTAATGATGATATACCCACAATAAAATAGAAGGCGGAAAACTGGGCATGCAATTACATATGGTAAAAGCGATTGGAAGCCGAGTCAAAATGGCAAGGAATGTAGAGAGCCTTAAGAAAAAATATAGGTACAGTTACTTTGTACCATGGCTCTGTATGTAGTTTATTTACTAACTTTTTTTTATAAATTCATGTAGTTTTTTTTTAATTGTAAGTCTATACACTATACATATAATACTTCGGACTACCTGGTATAACAGCCAATATTTGAACTTAGTAAGTCAAATAGCATACCGCTTTTCGACCGGTCGCGGGTTCGATTCTTGGCGCGGTGCAAATATTTGTATTCATGATTTGCCTGAAAGAGTAACAAACATCTATCGATTCATCCATTTTACAAATTCTCGCGTTTCTAATATTATTATGTAATACGTCTCTATATATAACAGTTTCAAGCAGTTAAAATTCTTATACAAAGCCCATTTACAGAGAAAGTGTTCCTCTAGAATAATTAGATTCTCCAGAAGAATCACATACTAAAAGAAACAGCTGGGAGTCCTGATTGCTTGAGTTAAAAAGTTTTATTATCTCCAATTATCCGGCGCAATTGTAAATTGAAACAAACAAAACTTTTCTCACTAGCTACTGCGTTGTAGTCGGAGAAAATGTTAATGTTTTACACAAATATTCATCATTTATTTGTAAAGTGATTTATGGAATTATTTTCATTTTTAATTTGTCTTAAGTTTTCGAATGCAAATAGCCATTATTTTTCTTAAATATAAAATTATCACTTTGAAAATGGAACATAGAACATAGAGATAAAGTGGTCTTGTTTTGTTTCTTTTAAATTATATCTATCTTCTAGTGCATTCCAGGTCTTCACCAATAAAATGTATAGTGTAACGAGTTGTAATTTTATTTATTTTTATTATATCATTACATGGAATATTCCTCCACCAAATCAACTCTTGTAATCACTCTGCTTTTTTTAGTTCTCACTATAATTCTATTTTGTAAAACCAGGGAAAATTTTTTCATAACATTGTGACATTGTTATTACTTAAAAATACCGTTCTAAACCATTTTCTGGAGAAACGATTAATAGGCAGTAGCCATTATTAAAGTAGCTCCTATTTTTCATAATCAGAATGAACACTTGGTAAAAAAGTAGGTACCTCCACGGGTGAAGCGGTAGGCTGTGAGGGAAGAAGGTATTGCCATTTTTTTAAACATAAACCATTTCCGAAACCATACATCATTGCTAGTATATTCTAGAACGCAATAGAAAAGTAGTTAACGTTTCTATTTTTTTTTCAGATTATCATTGTGGTAAAATTTGTTAAATAAAATGTAGATCTTGGTAATCTTAAGTGTAAATGCAACCAAGATGACTTCGTTTAGTAACAATATCAATTATACAATTATAAAGGGATATGAAGAAGATTTCCCACTGTTAATGCCAAAGTGGGGCTATGTTGCGTCTGCCTTTGTATTATTTCTAATAGGTTTCTTTGGATTCTTCCTAAACTTGATGGTGATACTGCTGATGTTCAAGGATAGACAGGTAATAATACCAAATATTTATTATCATGGAAAGAGTTATGCTTGGAGATTTTCTGAGGGATCAAATCCGAAACGAAGTAATTCGCCAGAGAACTAAAGTCACCGACATAGCTCTTCGTCTTTGTAAGTTGAAGTGGTAGGGGACTTATGTGAACATTGTGGTGTTTTTCATGTATATAGGTGATGGTTACCATTCACCATCCATTCATCATTCATTACTATTTATATTTGTATACTTCTTATAAATTTAGCATGTAAATAATGTACTACATAATATACGGCCAATTTATACATATGGTAATATATTAACGCTGTACTGCTATGCGAACAAAGGCATAACGCTGTACTGCAATGCCTGTGTGCGATAACGCTGTACTGTTTTTTAGCAGTGATATAATTTTAATTACAAATATTCTTTTCAATAATAAAAACAATAATAATGAATAATACCACTCTAATACCATTCTAGTTACCTTAAAAAATATATCACACATTATAACATTGTTTCATATAAACTGGAGGTAAATGATATTGCAGTATTATAGAATACAGTTAATCCATAATAAATCTCATTGATGTGATTCTGTATAGTCATTAATATTAAATAAGGGAAAAGGTTTAACAGTTATGAATAATGTAGGTATTAATTAGTAGATGGATCAGGATTGACTTACAGCTACATAATGCTCCACTAATAATTGTAATACAATCCATCCATATTCTATACTAATATTATAAATTTGAGTATCTATATGTTGGTTACCATTTCACGACTAAACGGCTGAACTGTATATTAATTAAATTTGGCATCAAAATAGTACTATCACGTGGAAAAACAATAATTTTAACTCAAAATTAAGACCTAAGTCTCGTGTTAAATTTGTACAAAGTTACATATTTACGTGGGTAGACAACTTTCAATAATTACACGTGAGTGGTGTTCAGGCGACCAAAAAACCGTCATCAGTTGTCAATATCGACAGGCAATAATTCCCAGATTGAAATAGGTAGGTACCTAAACAACTTAATCAGCTTTCCAGCTGGAATGTTTTCCAATATTATGTATAACATATCTATAATATTGGTAAACATCCCTCAATTACTCCGAACTCATTTTATCAGATCCTGATTTTGTATTAATGTTTAAACTAACAAACATATTATTACATTAATAAATATTACATGCAATAGAAAAAAAATCCTTGTAACGCAATATTTATAGCAAGTAATAGCCATATAACTAAAATACAATTTCTGTGATTACATCAAATTACACCATCCCAACATTGTTAATACTTTACGCGAAACACCTATCAAGTTTAAAAGATTATCAAAACCAATATATATTCAAACAAGGATCGATGTCACGACGGCTTGAGCAGAAGTTCGAACCCCTAGTGTGCCATCAGACTGAAGTAGTATCAGTCAGGCTGGTCTTCAGCTGCACCATAACTGCTTCTTTCACGGGTGGAGCATTAAAATAACTTGAAAATAACTAATAACTCCTTTCACAAGTGGAGAATTAAAATAGCTTGAAAATAACTATTTACTGTTTTTTTATTGTTCTCAGCTATGGACACCTTTGAACATCATATTATTCAACCTAGTGTGCTCCGATTTTTCCGTCTCAGTATTGGGGAATCCGTTCACACTCATCTCCGCACTGTTCCATCGATGGGTGTTTGGCCACACCATGTGTGTTCTCTATGGTTTCTTTATGGCTTTATTAGGTAAGGAATGAAATTTGAAATAACTCAGAATGTAGGCTAAGTCCGTAAACGGATAGTGAATATAACGAATGAGCAATATTATTTTACAATTTCGAATATAATGTCTAGTCATTTTTTATAAAAAAAATACAGATGAAGATAGACAGATTTACTTTATCTATCTGTGTATGATGACATACGCGCTGCTTTTTTTACTATTTGTAATTTATTTAATGTTGCTATTTTTTGCGCAATTTAATATACATTTTTATAACGTAATATATTTTTTATAATGGATATCCGTTTGAAAAGACCTTTTTCAGACTCAACAAGAAAATGAAAAACTTGACATTTTAATAAATAAGTATCCAACCGATACTTCAATTCCGGTAATATTAAAAGCTCTCCAGTCTATAAACACACATAAATTGACAAAGAATGAAATCCTTTATAAATTGCTTCTTTTAGAATTGAAATTAAAAATAAACCACTAAATGCTTATAGAACTTGTATATTCCAGAACTCATTTAATGGTGTATTATAGCGCTTCAAACAAATAGATATTGAAGTAATTTCTATAAATTGACACTGTTGAGTAAACATTAAAAAATCATGAATATCTTTAATTTTTGAACATTTAAAAACAAAACAAAAGATAATAGAACAACAATAAATAGACAGAAACACAAAGAGAAATTCGTATGTGAATGAGTAAATCCACGTTCTTGTGTCGCAGTATTCACTGACTAGATTTATGCTCGGCATGTTACTGTAGCATTTGTGGCATTCAGCACAGTTTTTCAGCACAAAAGCTCTAGTGTAAGAGTCTAGTGTTTAAACTTAAGTTCGTAGAGAGAAACCTTATCGATATTTTTTTGAATAAATCTATACAAATCAGGTACTTACTACATCAATTAGGGCGGTAAATGTAACTTCTTTGTGTAATACTTCGACAATTACAAATATTGGTGACGTGGAAGCTTAGTTTCAAGCACTTGTGTTTGAAGGGAGTTACCACCTTAAACTGTTATCTAAAAAAAACCTTATGTCTAATATGTAGTTGATTAAAACAATCCTATCATTCAGGTATTACTTCAATCACAACGCTAACTGTTATATCCTTCGAGAGGTACATACTGGTGACTCGACCGCTCAGTTCTAGACATTTGAGTTCAAGAGGAGCCATCTTATCCATAATATTTATTTGGACCTACTCACTAGCGCTCACTACCCCGCCTCTAATGGGTTGGGGAAACTATGTCAATGAAGCTGCTAACATCAGGTAAATATATCAAGATCTTAAATTAAGATTTTATTTTAGTTTAGAACTTTATTTTATCATCCACTATCTTATTGTTATGAATATGAATTCTTTTTAGAAATGTACGATCATGCTGCTTAAGGTAAGCTATAACCAATATGGGTATAACATTATTTATGTATAAAAATAATTATAGCAGTTTGTTGTCGTATACAAACACTAATTTTCTCTTCACAACTGTATGAATCTATTTATTGCAGCTGTTCGGTGAACTGGCATGAACAATCTATGAATACACTCACGTATATTATGTTCCTGTTCGCATTAGGACAAATAGTTCCACTTGCTGTCATCACTTACAGCTATGTCAACATCATCAGAACGCTGAAAAAGGTAACATGATGCTATAAGCCACTTTAGAATAATGAACATTGACATACCTGACCTAGTGAAGTTTATATAGTATTAGAAAAAATAAAACAGAAAAATCTAGAAGAGAAGGCTCTGGGGGTTTAGCAGTTTAGCACACCGCCTTGTTTCCAATAATCGCGACTTTAATTTTTCGCAAGATACAAACCCTTCACAAAGTAGTAAAGGTCAATTACGGCCATTGGCCATATGGACAATTACCGCTTTAAAACAGTCCAAAAAAAAACGATACAAACATTTGTATTCATTACTATGATTTCTTGTACTGGTCTTTTTGTTTTCCATTTATATTAGGAATGTGGAATGAAGGAAAGTATTTAATATTATATCGCTGTTTAATTATATATATACCTGTATAGTTTTTTAACTAGAAACTTGCGTATAGCACCTTCAAATATTGTTCAATTGTACATTTTTAAGATTTTGTATAAATAGGTAGGTACAAACTGCCAAATAGCAAAAATTACAAAAATTTAAAATAGTTATATATAATATTTTAAGGTGTGGTGGCTGACCACGACGCGACCTATTTGAATATTTGAGTGAATATTATAATTAACTAATATATTATATACGTATGTACTATGTAAATATTGTGCTATTCACACAGTACACATTAATAATGACGTATGAATCAACATAAACACCGCCACGCACTAGTATTTTGTGCAATGAAATATTAATTAATTATTATTTACCATTGTCATTTTAAACACTATATAATAAGTTGTTTAATAAGTGTAAATAAAATCACACATTATTGTAAACGTCTAACGTTACTCGATATGTTCAACAAATAAATTTATCGTGTTAGGATGTTAAAATTGCTCGATTTTTATTATATGAAGTAGGTTATTTAATAGATGATATTAGTAATACCTAATCCCCTTCTAATATAAAACCGCAAAGTAGGTAGGCACTTAAAATTCCTATAACAATTTGTTTTTAAATAAAAATAAAATTCAAAACTGAATATTAATTAATCTATATAAAATATTAAACATCGAGTTAACGCCTGTGGTAACGCTCATGCATTGCCATTCTGAATGACGGCGTCACTATTCCGTGCCCTGTAATTTTACTCCCATATCTTATTCTTCGAACGGAACACAGCATGCAAATATATAAAGTAAGCTGTTTTGGCGCCAGAGATAAGTACCTAACAGAAATATCCACGTAGTCGACTTTGTGCAAAGTCTAATTATGTAAAATATTAACTTAGTATGAACATTATAGAATTCGCAACGACTGGGACGAGTAAGCCGAGCGGAAACAAGGGCTACAGCCATGGTCTTCATCATGATTATATCCTTCACTGTGGCATGGACACCATATTCCTTGTTTGCTTTAATGGAGCAGTTCGCTACTGAAGGAATTGTAAGTATAATAAAATCAATCACACTTCATCAAGCGTACAAGCATTGATCTGAAAGTTCATATATAATTTCCTGTCGATGTTGTTGGTTGTTACTAATATCTAATTATAAACACATAGATCTAACAATATTTTCCTTATAAAGTTTATTTTATTATTACTTACACAAGCGCAAGTGCAGTCATGCTAAGATTACCTGGAAACAATTGCTGTAACGTTAAGATTGTCCGTTAATCTTTGTCTTGTTCATTGTAATAATATTTTTCTGTATCTATATTTTCTGTGGGAGTAACATTAAATAGCTTAAATAATATAATTATTTTCATTTCTGATTAATCTTTTTGATCGTTATTTTGTCACAGATATCTCCAGGTGCCGGAGTTATTCCAGCACTGGTGGCAAAAAGCTCAATTTGCTATGATCCCCTCATATATGTTGGCATGAATACCCAAGTGAGTATATTTAATGTTATTATGTTAAAAAATATATGTTACTATTAGATAATATTTTAAATTTTATATTTCAAATGATTATATTAAAAAATCTGTACATGAACCACTTTCTGCTGTCATATTATTATTATCATATTATTTTATTTGTCTAATATTATTTGCTCTAGTTTCGTCAATCAATAAAACGCATATTTGGAATGCATGATAACAAAAATCAATCGAAATCTGAGAAAGGTCACAACAATACAACATTGTCGCCGACGCAGAAGAGGTCTGGTACGAACGAAGGAACTACGCGATATAACTCAACTGAGACTGTGGTATCTATATCTTCGAAAAAGCATAACAAGGATAAAAAGATAATCTTCAATGATGATTTATCAGAAAGTATCAAAACAGAGAACCGATCTTACCAAAAAGATGTCGAACTTTGTACAATACAAGAAAATCGGTCCGCATCAGATGTAGAAAAATCAGGCAATACTATATATGAAGAAGATAGTTGTAACAACACTAAAAAGTTCCCGCTCTTCGGGCCATCGTGTAAGTTATTCCAGAAACGTTCACCTGGTGTTACAATTATAGATAAAGAACATTTGATTTTTAGTAAAAATTATAGCAATCGAGATTATGACAGTAATGACTCAGATGACAATACGAATGCTTACGGCAATAAAGGTTACGTAGAGCATGTTACTGATGCGTTAAAAGAAGATATGTATCGCACCGAAAATATTAATGCAGAAACCAACGAATACAAGAATATAAATTTACAGAAAGAAATAAAACGAAGTTTCTCTCTGGATTTAAATATTGTTTCATACGAAAATAGAAAGAGAAAAATGTCAGTCGAGAGTAAATTTGAAACGATTATACAACCAAAAGGGTTCTTCAAAGATAGTGTAATAGGTAAATTATTTGATAACAACACGAATCAGTTTAAAACGTATCTGTGTAACGTTGAAAATCAAAATAATGATAGCACCGATGATGATAATTAGTTACGTAATTGAATAATAATAATTAATTGGGAATCATTGTCACTGAAAATAATTGGGATCAATGCATCAATTAAATAAAACATTCTTTCATTTTGTCTTAGATATTGTAATAATAAAATAAAAATATTTATGCACTATTCAAATATTGTAAATTTTATTAGTGAGAGAGCTAGAGCTATTACGAGTATTACAATGTTCGGGAATTGTTATCGAAAAGAGGTGCTGCCTTTTTAATGGAAGTCGTAGTAAGGTCTGTGATAAGTAATAATAAATACGAATGCCAAAGTTGAAAAACGATATATATATTTTATGGAATAACTAAATCATGATTATGTATTTTCGTTAGATTTATAAAATGAACCGATGTATGTAGTTTAGAAATCTATGATTCGTATATTTATTGACTAATTGTTTAATATAAGTAGAAATAAGATACCTACGTGTCGTAATTAATGTTATATTTTCAATCATAGTTGTCTTTAATAAATAAATGATAATTAATATTGTGTAGTAATTAATTTCATGACCTCATGTTAGTGGCGAATTTCTATAAATAGATTGAATATATAAATATGTTGGAGAAACATAGATAAGGTATTTTTTTTCAAAATAAATCTGACGGTTAATCTAATAGCTGCTAATGAATGAATATAACAGTATTTCATTCATAAACCGTGTTAAAGTCAATAAAAACTGTAGTTTAGCTATATGTTATTTTATGTGTAAGACATATATTATTGTAAAGTTTCGTCAAAATCCGTTGAGTACTTTTTGCGTGAAAGAGAATCAAATATACAAACTCTCGCGTTTATAATGTTATTATTAAGATTCTCTTATCTGTAATGTTGCTTACCTATAAATATCTAATGTATAAAATATTATTAGAATAAAATTTCCAATTCACAACCCTAAAATCAGGGGCTATATCGAAATAGTGGTGGTGCGCTCTGGATCGCTTCTTAGATCGCCTGAAATCTATAATAAGCCTAGTAATTTTTTTTAACAACCTGCATTAACAATTTTGTTAAGATTTGTAAAATTTCATTTCATAAACGTTCCTTAATACTAATTTAAATGTCAAATCAAATGAGCAAAAGTATTTTAGGTTCATAACAATATTTTTTTAAAATATTTCCACAGATAACATAATATTACCTTAACAGCTGTTCATGTATTCATAGTAAACCCTCATAAATTAAAATTTCTTCATATTCTAATAATAAATTATACCCAAATATTCTGTGAATTACAATATCCTGGGATGTAATTGTATGTTATAACATAAAAATCTTCATTGTTATCGTAGGTCGTAATATAAATAAGGTACACACACATATTAATATTAATAAAAAATGTTGGGTTTCAAATGCCTACAACAATAATATATAAAATGTATTAGAATCTTAGTAATTTTGTTACACGATTCTTTTACGTAAAATGATATTAAATTACTAAAGGAATGTCTCGGCAATTCCTATTAACAAAATATCTAATTAGATTATACTCTACTCTATTTTCTCTTCTAATATATAAAAATCTCTTCACAGCGTTTGTCAGTTGTTATATAACTCCTCCAAAACAACTTGACCAATTTTTGTAAATAAAGAAAGAAAACGTAGAAGTATTTTTATACATCTAGGTGTCAATTACGCCTTATTAATAAATTTATGCGGCCAAAGAATTTTTGTGTGGGTTAGCTATTATTACTTCAAAAGACCTAATATCGAGCTTCTCGACCAATTGCTCCAATAGATTACTGCTATTGAGTAAAAACATATGCATGATGACTAGGGCCCTCACAGGACACTGCAAATTAAACAAGCATATGGCTAAGCTAGGCCTATGCACGACAAGTATCTGTAGATTCTGCCAAACTGAAGAGGAAACGCCGCTTCACATCCTATGTGGTTGTAGCCCACTCATGCATAAACGAAATATCTCCTTTGGAAAGTTTACACTCTTTCCCGAGGAGATAAAAACGATCGCTCTTAAGAATATCTTTCAATTCTTGTCCCTGACGGGTCTAGGTAGCGAACTCTGAAAAGGGCGAGCACAATAGATCTATGTAGGTCGTAGTGCTACAGGTGCTACACATCTGACAATAGCCCAAACAATCCAATAAAAAAAATATATATACGAAGTTCATTATAGGAAATATCATTAAAATAGTAACACAAACCATTTCGTGTGATAGATTTTCTTGAATAAATAATATGTAAGGTTGCTTTCGAGACTTTTTTGAAGCAGTAATTTTTTTTATGGAAGATAATGGAATGGTGCACCCGTCTGGGCTAAGGGTTTACGCAGTGAAGGATGATAAGGTAAACAAGAGGTCAAGTCAGTTAACCCATCATGACAAATTCACAAGAAATTTATTGTTTCCAGGAGAACCGCGTGAAGGTCAACCTGATATATGTATATAGGTACATTGCGAGCAATGGGGTCAATAGTCCACATTACGAACAATAACGCCCCCGAAACAGTAGGTAATATTCAAGGTAGGTTCCAAGTCTAAAATATAAAACTATGTAAAAAGACGTCGGCGTGGTTATCATTGTATCACCTATTTTGAGCCTAAACCGTTTCGCTTTGTAGGTACGGTACGTTTAGTGAAATTACAGGCATAAGAGCTAGGACACTAGAATAGCAACTTATGTCACATGACACACACAGGCAACGGTGACCACTTACCATCGGGTGATCATCAGCTTCAGTCGGTGTCATCTGGGAGATGTTAGAACTTGTGTTAGGCCTTCTAGACATTTTTTGTAATTTGTGTTGTTTTATAAGTACATTATTTGTTTTGTAAATAAATACTAAATATACAAAGAAAATACCCAGGCTATACAAATGATCATTGCCATAAATACAAATGTTTTCAACTTGCGAAGAACCAAACCCGGAAGTAGGCGGGGCCTACAGCTAGACCACCTAGGCCATGGATGCCTAGACCACAGGATGGGGACTTCGAAACTGTCAGTGTGGTCATCGATCCAACTTTGACCCCAGGTTGGAGGATGGTTAGGCCTATTCGAAGGGAATTCTCACCATGGATGCATTAGGGTTATTTAAAAATAAAAGTCTGCATAGTTTCACATATTTAATTTAAATACTCTATAAGTAGGTATAATAATTACATTAATATATTATACGCTTATACAATACTGAACAAAACAATAAAATTTACATAATCATAAACTTCGGTACATACGAAATTTTAATAAATTACTAAAATTCTCTTTCCCTCTCGTCACGGTAACAAATTTTGGCAAATTAAAATTATATTTACAAAAATAAAATAACTTCATGTATCACTTCGTAAAATATTTAAAAGTAAGAAATATAATAGTAATGAGAACTCATTAGACAAAGTCAGATACAATGTAAATTTATCGAAAATTTTATATACTTGTTATTACAAATGTTATAAAAAAATTCAATATCCACTTGTTGGTAGCCCGTCGTGTCAATTCCTATATATAGTGATTATTGTTTGAATATAATAAAAATTTGTCAATTCATAACATTTTACAAAAGTTCTTGTAGTGCTTTGTGTGACAAGACATTTGAAGATATGTAAAAAGTTTGCACTGATTAAAATATACTTAAATTGGACCGTCGTTACATTACATTAATTATTATCATTTTTGACACAAAACGATGAAAAACTTTTTGATACAGTCCTTAAATTCCGGCACCTTTAGAGGTATTATTGAAACTAATCTTAAACTTAAAAAAAAATTAAAATATCAACTGTAAGGACGGTCAAACAAATTCTACTGATTACAATAACTCTAATGAAAAATCAGTAACTACTCTATGGTTATTCAAATCACACATCGCTTATCAGTACATTCTATATCATTAGGTCTATGGAATAATATGCCAGTCTTTGACTTCATCAGTCGATAGCCAAAGGCCAAATTGTCAAAAATTAAAAATAATCCGAAAATCTTACATATTTAGGCACCAGATTTGTGTTTTTTTTAAGAATATGTTGTATAGTTAAAGGAACAGGTACCTAAATAATGGCCGCGGATATTCGTTGTTGTCTTAATTCAATTTTATGACACAATATTATTGGTGTTGAAAATTTTTGTAAACTAGTCACCATGCTTACTACATGTAAAACTATGGCTCATATAAACCATTTTAAATATCTACAATATAATTACTAATTTCTTTCGAGTAATATTTATTTCCTATTTTTATTAAAGATATATTATCATCAACAAACTAGTGACTGGTTTGAAACTAGAACCCACTCATTATAGTCGATATGAGCTGAGAATTTTATTTGATTTATAAAAGTTTTATTTTTGACAAATAAAACAACATGTATCTCTTATTTTACTTTCTGTGTTCTGTTTTATCTTAGTCATGGCTCATCGTAGCAACCCAGTCGTCAGTTCCCTTACGGTGGTCAATAGATATCGATAACGTGTGGTATCCTTACAGAATAGCCATATAAATTGCCATACATTGTTCCACAAGATTCCTACTCACACAATACTCGTATATAATCTCAATATTTGTGACTCAAAAGTCTTATCACGTTAAAAAATTCAAAATGTCATAAAACGAAATATATCACGTATTGAAATTACTCTACGGCTGTAGGCTTACAGTTTAATTAAATATAATATTCAAGTGTTGATTGCACAACCTTTCGCTTAAGCCGAATCTTCAATTCTTTTGTCTTTCTCTAGAGTCCTCCCTGCAGACCCCTCGCGGTGGCGAATCCCGTCCTTTATGATTGGCTTTGGAAGTTTTTCGAGATCTTTTGAACTTAGCTACGTCGTCTCCAAACACGTCCCCGGTTCTTAAGGCCGAGATGAGGTCATCGAACTCACCTTTCTGACCATTTGTGAGGGTGCCGTCGCGAGATGTGTCTCCGTTGGCATGGCCGTTACAGTCTGCAGATCCATTTGATTTGCCTAGCGACTTTCCCACAGAACTAAGCAGGCTTGAGGCTTGTTTGCGTTCTAAAGTGCGTTTTTTAAGCTGTAATAAAAAATTAAAATATAATGAAATATATCTATAATAGCTTTAAGGACTAATATGAATAGGTATACTTTTAAGGCATGTTATCTATCGATTGGCAATATATTTTTCATTCATTCATTAACTCTCATTTCTTCATTCTATATTCAACATATTTAATTGTAACAAAATCTTTGCTAAGCATAACCATAACTTTCCAATTCTAAATTAAAGTATAAATGTATTAATAAATAAATAATAAATTAATAAATTTCACTATGTGTATATGTTTTCGGTAATTTATAGATACAATACTTAGATCATCAACAGGGATGATATCGTAGATCAGATTATTTTTATACCGTGTATATATGCGTACCAAGTACATATAAAAAATGCAATATTTTCAATTAATTGCGTTTAAAAGGATCAACGTCTATCTAATAGTGGTCATTATATAAGGCAATTGTACTGAAATTATAGGACAAGTCACACTTTAGTCCTTCGGAATGGCAACGCATGAGTGGTATCGCGGTAATCATGAAAATAAGGACGGTTACTACTTACCATAAGGTGGCTTGTTTACCATACTTAGAGAACAAAAATACGAATTCAAACGAGAGAGGGAGAGACAGAGAAAGAGAGAGAAAGAGAGAATGAGAGAGAGAGTCACCTCCTGCTCGTGCCGCGTGCGTCGCTGCTCTTCGTCGCGGCGTCGCCTGGCCGCATCACACTCTGCGCGTGCGTCGGCCAGCTGCTGCAGGAAGGCGTCCAGTGCACCGAACAGCTGCTCGGGCGACGCGCTTGCTTCCTCGCCGAACGTGTGTGCGCACTTCTCCAATCGACTTTTCATGTCCTAATAATAGTAATAATAATAGGTAATAATATTAGCCGATAGAACCAATTCATTAAATCGCAATATAAGAGTCGGTGGAGCTCTTGTTACTTTCCACGGTCTTCCATCATGTACTTTTAATGTTAATACGACACTCCAATTTTGTCCTTAAGATAAACCTACACTTGTTCGGTCGGTAGCTGTAAATAAACAAAATTAAATAAGACAATGCTGACCTGGAAGAGATCTTCGAGTTGCGTGAAGGTGCAGACGGCGTGCGCGTGGAAGTCTCGCATGACTGGCAGGAAGGCGTCGTGGTCGGTGGGCGCGGGCAGCGCGGCGTGGTAGTCGAGCTCGCGCGCCACCTCGCGCAGCCCGCCGCGCAGCGCGCCCACGTCCTTCTCGAGCTGCTCCACGCACACCTTGGCGGCCGCGCGCACGTGCGGCACGTCCTCCTCCAGCAGCAGGATGTCCTTGAACTTAACACGAAACACACTGTGATATACCATACACGTGTATTTACGTAAAGAGTAAATTGATTTGACTATATTTGTCAAATTTTCTCTACCTGTTAGTGAGAAATATTTGAGGCAATAAGATTTCTGTTGTTCTAAAGACGACATTATGATATGACTATGTTTCGATATTTTAAACATCATATGTTATACATATTTAGACGAGTCACCTGTGTGTCAAGCATTTCTACGAGGTAATGTAGCAAGGTAGTATTCCGCGAGACGCTGGACTTCGTATCAGCAAGCTTATTGAGCGACGTCAATCGGAACCCGGAAGCGTTGCCGCGAGCACCCCTAGTAAAAAATAAAGTATATTAATACAAGTAAAACGTATTTTTCACATTATATTGCATCTATCACAATTGAGCTAAGCCAGATTTTACTTAATTACATTACTCGGCTATTTAAAAAGGTGTACAGACCTGTTCATGTAGTTGCCGAGCGCGAGCACGACCTCGAGCAGCGCTCGCAGGCGGCGCGAGCGCGTCATCTCGCGGGCGGCGCGCAGCACGGTGGAGGGTGGGGGAGGTGTACAGACCTGTTCATGTAGTTGCCGAGCGCGAGCACGACCTCGAGCAGCGCTCGCAGGCGGCGCGAGCGCGTCATCTCGCGGGCGGCGCGCAGCACGGTGGAGGGTGGGGGAGGTGTACAGACCTGTTCATGTAGTTGCCGAGCGCGAGCACGACCTCGAGCAGCGCTCGCAGGCGGCGCGAGCGCGTCATCTCGCGGGCGGCGCGCAGCACGGTGGAGGGTGGGGGAGGTGTACAGACCTGTTCATGTAGTTGCCGAGCGCGAGCACGACCTCGAGCAGCGCTCGCAGGCGGCGCGAGCGCGTCATCTCGCGGGCGGCGCGCAGCACGGTGGAGGGTGGGGGAGGTGTACAGACCTGTTCATGTAGTTGCCGAGCGCGAGCACGACCTCGAGCAGCGCTCGCAGGCGGCGCGAGCGCGTCATCTCGCGGGCGGCGCGCAGCACGGTGGAAGCGCGCGCCTGCGCTTCAGCAGCCGCTACTGAGAATTTCTTCTTAAACAGCAGCGTGCGTACGCGCTGCGAGTAGTGCGGGATTCTAGACCGACAAAACAATATTGTATAGAATTCGCACCTTACATTAGTCCTGTAGAACGAACTAAATTAAAAAGCTAGTTTAGACTGGAACTCTATATTTATTAATGCCCAAACTTTATTAATTTTGCATTAATGCACTTAAAATAAACACTCACATATTATTTGAGTGTAACCTACAAAAATCGGTAATTAATATTAATTTTCGATTGTGCCACAACGCTATCGATAGAACGATAAAATCGAAAAAAGCTGGTAATATAAGTACTTAATGTCAATTGTTGTTTCAGAAAAAACAGACTATAGTGTATCATCATTCTCGGATACTCACTTAGAGATCTCGTATAGGAACCGATCAGCTCTCGCCATGCTGTCAAGCTCGTCCTGGTGTTCTTCTAGCAATGCAGCTTCCTCGGCACTGGGTGTGAACTTGAGCAACTGTTCCACCATGTCGATGGGTAGTTGTTCATTGCTATCCATCCGTAATATCGCTCTGATAAATAACATCAATTAATAATTAGTTTAATAACCATACGAATAAAACAAATATGAAGGTATGTAGTTCAATGGTCATGGTAAGTTTGATGAAATTACATATTTAGGAATGAAAATTTCAGGACATGCGAAAAGCAGTCAGATGATAGAATTACAATAAAAAAATATGCGGAAGATGCAAGCTTCTAAATCTTCTAGAGCATTCTAGATCTGTTCTCATATAAAAATATTCATCATAATTAAATGATGAAGGTCTAGATAGACCTATAACGATCAAATAGTTAATATGCTATCCATAACCGTCCAGTGTCGTATATGATACAGGACTTAAAGGTATCAGAGTGTATACATGAAAAGAATGAGAACGAAAAGAGAAGTATATTGAAAAAGAGTGTGAGACGTACAACGTATAAAACTCAATATATATATATATATTCCTATGCCTATTCCATCTATTTTATTATAATAAGAGGAAATCGAACTAAAAATATATTAATATTTTGATATCCAAAATACATACCGACATATTTCTTCGTCCGACATCTTAAGCTTGGAAAGCAAGATAGTACAGTTCTGTGCACGACGTCCGTCTATGACAGACAAGATTTTAGTTCGAGGCTTAGATCCCAACTGCCGTAAGTCTTCCACGGAACCCTCATTCTGAAATAGGTTTTATTTTTTCTTCTCAATAAAATTCGATAAAAATTATACTTGATTGGTATACAACGAAGGCATTCCTTAAATATATGGTACATACATTTATTTTTACTTATGTGACGGTAAGTTCAAACTCTCTTTGAGCTCATAAAAATAATAAAGCTATGGTAATTCCTCAGCTAAACAAGTTCAAGTTTGGAAATTAATTTCACAAAAATATAGTTTACCGACCTGCACACCATTCTTCTGGTACGCGCAAAACATTTTATCGATAGTATGCAGATCCATAGCGTTGTACAACTTGGTGTCATCGAGCTCCTGCCAGATGGTGCCGTGGAGCTTGGCGTCGGGCAGCTTGCTCCAGTTGAAGCTCTTGAGCGGGTTCCCGGGGGTGGGCACGTTCTTCTTGGGCTTGGGGAGGGAGGGCGCGGGCGGCGCAAGCGGCGCGGGGGGCGGCGCGGCGGGCGGCGCGCCCGGCGCCAGCGGCGGCTGCGGCGCCGGCGGCGGCGGCGGCGGCGGCGCCGCGCAGCTCTCTATCACTGCGCTCTTCAGGTTGCTCACCTGCGTTTCCGATAATCTTGTTTAGATTTTGTCGTTTGAGTCCTTATCTTACTAATATAGTCCTTATCTTCAACACTCACAAACCTTCACGTTTAATATAGTCGTATCTTACTAATATATTAAACGTGGAGGTTTGAGAGTGTTGAAGATAGGACGGATGGATGTTTCTTACTCTCACGCAAGAATTACTGATTCTGAAGCACATAGGCTATAAATTGCCCTCGGTTTAACGGGCACAGTTATTAGACGTATTGTTCTTGGATAAACATCATAATGCTCCAGATACCGCCCTGCGCCCTAGACACATTTTTTATGGACAATTTTCAGTAATCACTCTCTGGGCCTAAATGTATCTCAGGTCATTTATTTGAAGTAGGTCAATTAGGTGGTAACTCGCAACCCATCAGACTAAATATTTGTGTTTTCAATAAATTAACAAAATTTTAAAGAAAGTCCAGACTAAAACGTTTGGTAGGTGGGATGAAACGTATGATGTACAAGTTTGTGTATGTCAAACATGAAATATATTTGCAAATGGACCAAACCAAGTGTTTTCTCTCGTAGTGCAATAATAGCACTTTAACTATTTGGGCTTCATAAGAAGCAATTAGGGGAAATATAAATTACCTTGGCGTCATCAGGTATACTTCCTTCACTGACTAGTTTCTCGAATCTGACTCTTTCAGATCGTTCTTGATTTAACTGAAATGCAAAAAGATATATTCAATTTTTACAAGTAAATAAATACACACAAAAATGTATCAATTATGTCAAAATAATTACTGCTGCTACCCGTGATTGCTAGTCCAGCTGTAGCCCTTTAAGTACTCGTTGCTCAAGCTATAGCTATATCGTTTCCCACCCCACACACCCGAGCAGTAGCGCAATATATACCTATTGCTTAAACTTTAATCATCTTTTTCTCAATACCATACCAACTGTTTTTAATACAGTTAACCGTTTCCCCCGCTAAGTACCCGTTACTGAATCTGTAGCACCCCGTTCTCCCACTAAGTACCCGTTACTCGAGTAGTAACACCTCGTTACTCCACTAAGAACCCGTTACTCGAGCTGTAACACCCCGTTCCCCCACTAAGTACCCGTTACTCGAGCTGTAGCACCCCGTACTCCCACTAAGTACCCGTAACTCCAGCTGTATCACCCTTTCCCCAGCGAAGTACCCGCTCCTCGAACGGTAGTATCCTGTTCCCCACTAAGTACCCGTTCCTCGAGCTGTAGCATCCTTTTCCCCCCATACCTGCTGTTCGAGCTGCAGCGCCCTGGTGGCAGCAGCACGTGCCCTCTCGCCACTCTCCATGTGCGCAGCGGTCTCGCGCTCAAGTCGCTCCTTGAGTCTTGACACCACATCCTCCAGTTCTTCGCGCTCTTGGGACTGCTGGTCAACTTGCTTCTCCTGTTAGTGCGTTAGCGAGGGTTAGCATGCGGTGCTGGTGACCATTAATACTTTTCACCTTAATAGCTAAATTATTCATGAATATAATACCTACATTGTGATCATTTCATTAGAAATCGCTTACCATGCATATTGAAGCAACCGATTAAAGTTACTATTAGTTTATTATCTCTTATAGCACAACGTTAACCTTTTTTTTATAAATAAAATTGATGATTATGTGTCCATATTGAATTAGTATAATCATGTATTGTACCTAGATTATGAAAATTAATCTTTCCACATGGCTATTCTTGTCATAAAAAGAATGTAACCATAATCTAATAAAATACTGACTTTTGACAAATTCGACCAGCATGTTTTTGTAATTTCCTCAAAGATACAGATATACAGACAGAATACAGACGTGGTTGATAAAGATGTTTTACTATTTATACTATAAAGCGTAACACAACATTTTAGTGTAATTACAGTTTGAATTGATGATCATGTTGTATCGTATCATATATGGTCGATAAGACAATTTAACATCGTTTCATTGAATTTCGATGCGATCTCGTTCAAAAATCAGCTTGATTAATGCAAATCGTAAGTACCAAAACCTAATAGATCCTTCACATTTTTAAAAATTAATAATCTTTTACACCAATGTCAGAATTTAACATTCAATGTTTTCGTTTAGTTACGATTATGATTTCCATCACCGTTTTTAAAATTTAGAAAAGTATACCTTTTTGGCAAGTTCCGTAGCCAAATCGATATTTTCTCGTTCTAAATTCTCGGCTTTTGATCTGGCAGCAACGAGTTCTTCTTCTTTGGCTAAAAGGTGCACTATTTCTCCTACATTAATTTCAAGGGGAGCGACGTCAGGGTCATAGATCTGAAAATTAAATGGACCATTAAATTATTTTTAACAAATATGTACTTTTACTAAACTACATATATATATTTCCAAACAAAGCACAGCTTATGTTATGGGTACCAGACAAATCATAGAATAATAATTAATAAACTGTTTTTTTTTGTAAATACATACATAATATACATAGAAGACACACAGATCAATACAATCATTCATATTCGTAGATACAAAGTTTTGCAAGGAAGTCGGATTGTATCTATTAGGCGGGGCCCAAGGCTAACTGCCTTCAGTCGCTCCAGGCCTGAAGGCAAAAGCCAACAGCAGCCAATAGTATTACAGTAGTCCAATAAAAAAAATCGTGCGAGAAATCGAAACTGCAACCATCAGAAGTAAGACACCTTGCTAAAGCCGTAAATATTAACCAAATTATTTTATCTATGTAAAATTTGTTCACACCGAAAGATAATATCAAAAATTCTGATACATTAATTTCTTCGTTCAACGTTTAAAATGATCACCTTGGCCGGGTCTGTGTTGACATCTGGCAGGCTGCCCTGCTCGCTGTTGGCGCGGCTGCCGGCGCCGGGCTGCTGCAGCACCACCTGCTGCACCACGCGGTCCACCAGCAACCAGTGCTGCGAGTGAGGATTGTATTCCACTGGAAACACATACAAAACAACAACAATTAAAAACAACAAACAAATTTTAAATATTACACTAAATAGTTTCTTATTTACAAATAAAAAAAATATATCAAAAAAAAAAGACAAAACAGTTAGCAAGAAGCTAAAATTATTAAAATAAATTTATTATAGGTTTAGTTAGCATTCATATAAATAGAGGGCTGTAAAAGCAATAATGTTGATAAGTTGAACTTAACAAAATATAATGAAAAGTATAATTCCAAGTAACTGGCTCGGTGGTCTAGCAGTATAGCACACCGCTTTACTTCCGATCGTCGTGGGTTGGATTCCTCGCACAGTGCAAACATTTGTATTCATGTGTATGATTGTTCGTATCGGTCTGGGTGTTTTCTACTTATATTATGTATAAAATATCTAAGTATTTATATCAGTTTTCTAGTACCCATAACACAAAGTTTGCTTACTAGACGCGCTATGTTAATTGTCCAGGGTTATTTATTATTATTATTATTAGGTGCATTAAGCATTTGAGTAGAAAATGTTATATTCATTTAATGATAATATACTTTTAAAGTTTTAATGTAAAATTTATATTATATACCTACATAATATAAATATCACAACTTACATGGCAACAGAAGTAGATGTTTCAACAATGACAACATGTGTGGATAGGCAGCGGTGTGACTAAGCTTCCTTCTCAGGATCTCGAACATCGACGCCGCACTCTTGGTGTCCACGTGCTCTTTGTCAAATCTCCTGGCAAGTTCTTTTTCGTCTTCGTTCCGAACCATCTCGAAAAACTCGATGTGTCGGTCCAAAGTTTCGTTCTCATATTTCCTTAGTTTTTCGATTACTGCGAAAAGAAAGCGTCGCGATTACCGAAAGGATTCTTATGAAAAAATAGTGTATTTGCAATGCAAAATTTGTTTTTATACCGTTATATTTACCGTAGAGATTTACGTACGAAATTATCAGTAAAAAAAACTTCACAGGAATTTTGCAGAGCAGATAAGTTACATAGTATCTTTTTCTACGGCTGTTAGCTATGTACCTATATATTTGTTAGAATTTCTTAAAGAGTCCTTTAATTTTCTAGTTCCGATATCTTTGGCAAGCTTTGCTATATACAAAATGAAGTAAGATAAATTTGAAATTATAATATTTAATTTTGAAAGATGTTTTGAGAAATATTTGAGCAAACATTTACTAAAATTACATATTAGATGGAATTCTTTGATACCTGGTTGTATCCCCAACATGAGCAACTCATATCTCAGATGCAGTCTGAACTCCAGACTGTCCTCTCCAGGTCCGTAATTTAAGACGGCATTGATGAATGACATGATGGCAGTCTTCACCCCGAGGTCATCACGGTAAGCCCCCGTACTGCGGTCAAGTTCGTTCACTATCCCTTGAAACCGGGCTCGCTCGCCGGCATACTTTTGATAGTGAATCATGGCCTCTAGTACCTAAGAATTATTTTAGTACATTAGAAGCCATTCTATTCTTATGATAAGGGTACATACCTCAAAACTTATGTAGGTAGATAATTATATGAAGGTTTGTATTTATTGGTATTTATTTGGAGGAAGACTATTTCAATATTAACAATTATCTTTTATGAAAAAAAAAAGAATAATATTTCGTTGTAATTTACCAAAAAAGGATGTAATTAAAGTATATAAAATATAATTGATGTATACAGAACATATATAGTCTATGAACATCAACATTTTAATCAAAATTCCTGTTGTCCAGTTTGGCCATCCAGTAATTTTTTTTTATTTCTAATTTTTATTAATATTATCAACCTCAATAGTAAAGGAAAGGTTACCTTCTTGTGTCCTCCCGGCACCAAACATACAGCACCGAGTATTTCCAATGCGGCTACTTTTGTCTTCACATTCTCTGTATCTAGCGACTGTGCAATCAGGTCTATACTGGTGGGATGCGCTAAAACATGGGCACGGCCAGTCTGTAAAAAATATATATTACCTACAATATATACAAAGGACGAGAATATATAGAAGTAGTAATGGGTATAACCCGTATGCCACAAATATGCAATATCATCCATATTTTGATTCCCGACTAGACGCTACTTAAAGCTAGGTAAAATACTGCAACGCTTTCTTCAAGAAACGACTAGGATAATAGAAAAAAAATACATACTATAGGTATATTAACATTAATTATTAACTCTCTATTTTATTCTTATTCTTATTGAATAATTTTTAAAGCTATTATTTTCTGAAAGTTCTTCAGTTTAGATTATGGATTAAATTTGAATAATTGAAATCAAATTGTATATAATCCATACACGATACCTAAATCATGGTACATAAAACACTACAGTCAATTTTAAACAAACAAGCAGATGTCACGATTTTATATTAAAAGAAAATATGTAAAGAAAAGGTTTCAAAGTATCTCCAATGTCAGTCTGATGATTTTCTTTAACAGGCCATGTTTGGAAAATGAAATAAATTCATACGTCTTTAGTATGTAGGAATGTGACCCAGGACATTAGTCCAATGACTAATGTCCATCGGCTCATTGATTGTTTACTTTGAATCCCAATGGATTCAAAGTAAAAAATCAATGAGCCGGATATATCATAAAGTGTTGGCATTCAACCAAATACATACGAGTAGTTATCGAATGCGGACATTAACCAATATTGTTTGCTTGAATGATCACAAATGCTACTGTATTACTAATAAAAAGAACGTCACGGTCTAGCGGTCTACCACCAGCACATATAAGACCTCAATGGAATTATGACTGTTGTAAAAAAGACTGTAAACGTTAATTTCCGACAATCTCTTCGGAGATAGAAAATATAGTTATATTAAAATATATGTGTACAATACTATTAATCGGGCGTTGTGGTTATTTGATTATGAATTTAGAACGACGGGTTGAATGGTCTGTCTTTATTTCCTTTCCTCCTCCTTCTCAACCACAGCAAAATATATACTCTCAAGTCTCACTATGTTTTTGTCAAAAATATTTACTTGGAAGCTTTAACTGTCATTTAATTTAATAATTGAAGTAGATTCTAAAGCCAAAATTTTAAATTATGAAAAAGGATATAACATACGATCCTCACAGCGTCGTCATAAGTCTGCCTGTTTTAATTCAGAAGAAAGCAAACACGCAACTACATGAATAGCACTGCGGACATTATAACGTCATCATATACCCTTATCTGTTGTGATTCCAGAGGACTAGAGTATCCTGTAATTTATAGGTGAGGTATCCACCTATACCTATATACCTACTCTTTAACAGAAGTTACTTACCAAACCAAATGGATTGCGTCAGAAATATACGACTATTTTATAATTATAAATAACTTACCGAGTTATTCATCAAAGCCTTTATGGCTGCGATGAGATTATGTCTAGTGAGTGCATCGTCCCTTGATGCACGTTGCAACACGCTCAGAAGGGCCCCCAAGCCGCCTTGCTTGACAAAGTGAAGTACGAAGCTATGTGCTCGGGTTCGAAGTGCAGTTTTTAATCCATCTACTAAGGCGCAAGCTTCCGGTGGTGGTACACCTTCCGATGAAATAAAGGCCTGAAAATTATTATTAATGTTGTCTTATATAAGTGAAATGACAAACAAGTCATCAGCGCACCTAATGGAAAGTAGTAATCGTCATATATGTGATCCTTCAAATAGGAATACAGCTTATAAACTAAGGTCAGCAGCAAACATTGAGGTGCATTGAGACATTGACGCAGATGTCGAGGAATAGACATGTATACTAGAGGTACACGCAAACGAGTGTATATAGTCGAAGTTAGTAAATTTGAAAATTACGAGTAATGAAAAAATCCTTTGATATGTATACCTCCTGACATAACATATTCTGTAGATTCAAGAATGTAAATTATAGCATAAAAATAACGTTTGACTTTTATCATTTATCTTGTTATACAATATATTAATATGACTCTAGTCTGTAAAGATGACGTCTAGTAAGTTATTTATAACTTAAGTAAATGTACACCGTAGTGCAATAAAAATTAATTATTTTTTAAATTGTGTAGCGAGTGCATTTCCTTTGCGTAACCACGCAACTGATACATCCAAAACGTGTAAAGATTATTCAAAAGTTATTTATTATCCCAATATCTTTTAACACGTATGCACATGTAATTATTACCACACAATATGATTAATAAGACTCAAGATTACCACTACTTTCTTTAATAATAAATCATGTTATCATCATTGCCTTGCCTTCATAATACTATAATACTGGTGTCTGGGTAATCTGTCATCTTCTTTCATTGATCCCTATCGTAAGTCATATCTGAGCTCCTTTTATTCATAATCATCTTCCACAGAATCCATCCATCTTTTCCTCGTCTTCTTCCTTTACATCCATCCGCATCATATAAAGTACTATCTTTAAGACATCGTCCTCGCTCCTCGTTTATTAGATGCCCATACCTAGAAAATCTCTTTCCTCGCAACAACAGTGGACCTTATATTATTTCAAACTTGAAATATAAAAATTTTAACTTCTGCATAAGTCATATTAAACTCACATCAGAGATTTCATTCAGTGCCTTGATGTACTCCTCAACTTGAGGTGCGGTAGCCAGAGGTGGGGCTTGACCTGGAGGCGGTCGTCGGCTGCAGTATATTTGCCATTTCTTTGCAGCGGGTAACTCCATCATTGCTGCTTTATTGACTGCTGTTAAGTCCAGCTCCTCCTGCAAAGAAAACGACATTGATTATTGGAAATTTTGATCATATATACTTATTGATCTTATTCCAGTACATTATCACCTATCGCTTCCGCTGATTATTCGCTTAGATTTTTTAAACTACGCCACGAGTGTTAATACAGATTTTAGCAGTAAATAGAGGTAATTCAATAGGAAAGTTTATATGTATAATACATGTACACCTGTGCGAAGCCGGGGCATTCTAATTCTAGAAATGAAGATCACATACAAAACAACACCAAAAGTAAATTTTGGAAATTTTATAACATCTGTGTCTTAGATCATTATATTTATTATCTACCGCTAACTAAACCCAGCTAATTTAGCGGTAAAATTTCCAAAATTTACTTTTGGTATTGTTTTCAATGTGATCTTCATTTCTAGAATTTCTGTTTTATTTAATTTATTAGTTAACGTTTATAACGTTAACAAAATAGGTTGTTAAAAAAGAATTTGCTCGATGTTATGAATTAAGAAAACTATTTTTTAAACTATATAGTCATTTTTTAATTATTCTATACATCGCAAGGACCATAAATTTTAAATAACTAAGCAGGTATCTAAGTTAAGTGTGCAAGTTAAATACAATTCCTAAATAGCGTTGCAAATTTGATGGATATCCTTGACGACATTCACATGAAATTTTACGACTGCATTTTTATAGCAACTAAACGCTCAAAATTAAGCACACTTGCGACATAAATAAACAAGCCCATGTGTCTAATTGCATTCCTTAACCGAACGAAAAACTGGACTTCCTAAAATGTACAAGACTGTGAATCTTGTCTATTACTGGTACGCGGTAGGAAATGTGATCAAGTAATAGATTATTTACTATAATTGAAACTTCGGGTTGAAAAAATCTAGCCAAGACCGAAAGAATATTGTGAGTCAAATTATATTTGACATTTTTGTAATTGAAACGCCGATAATAAATCAAATTAATCCGAAAGGCGTGGTAGGCTCGATCTTTGATATATTAGATAGTACCTATACCCAGCGAAATGTGCGCATTTAAAGTGCTACATCGACGGCTAATAACGTGTCTAATGCCTTAATAACATTTCATACATGATAGTATCCATGATTAAAATAACTAGATTACATAAAAAACGACAATTTTATTCAAACAATTGCAACCATTTCACTGTAGATATGTATGTAAATGGTACAAAATTTCATTATTCACTAAACATTAAAGATGTCTGCAAAATAAACGCTACAGTTACTTCGCAATAGGTCTAGACAAATTAGGCATATATAATTGCTCTCAGGTATTTGTATCGCCTCGAGTAAGGCTAACGACTAACTAGACACGCCTTACTGTGTTGTTACCGCGGAAGTAGCCGTTACGTATGTAGGTTCCGAGATTGTAATTATCCTCATAGAATAGCAACGTCATTTGAAATCTCACTTATTGTCATCTCGTATGGATCACGAAGTATACATAAACTATAAGAGAAACCTTTTATATAGATATATTTTACTGTATAAAAGTAATTTGGTGACGGCATGTGGCTCACTTTCATAATAATTAGTTTTAAAAACGAGTCATCGGTAGTAGTATTTACCACAACATACCACACAGCTGTACTACTGACATAGGTCAAATTTTCCAAATTATTGGAGTTAAAAACTTTAAAGCTAAAATGCTGCATAAGAGTACATTAACAGATGACAATTATCATATAATGCTCGTGTTGTAATGTCTTCTTGTAATCAATATATTAATACGTGCCGTAAAATCTTTGTACTCCTATTTACTAAAAGTGCACGGCCAGAGGTGTATGATAATTCGCACACTTATAGTTTATATAGAGTAGCAGTGCAGAATGCTAACATTTTTTTAAACTTATGAACTACAATCAAATGGATTTTTGTACGTTTAAAAAAAATGTTAGCAATAAAATAAACTTTACACCACCTTGTATATGACACACGTAAGTTATAGTCTTTGTCAATAGAACCATAATGTTCAAACTTATAATTTAAATGAATTATGGTCAATTTTCGATCAATGGGCGTCCACTAGTCTCAATAATAATGCCATATCCACCCTACAAACGAGTCACAATTTCACACACAACTACGACTCAAAAAAGAGACTAATTTGTAGAAAATCTACTCAGTATATTGTATTTTTATAATAAGAAAATGTAACGCGATTTGTGTACCTAAAAGAAAGCGGGCTGACAGCTCAATCAGTCAACACTTTAACAGCTTGATGAGCTATTAACGACGAGACGGTCGGGGTTTTATTATAGAAAACAACTCGTGTGATGTGTTGATATTTTAAGTCATTACTATATATATACATGTCACATATTTTTATTTAGTTACATGCGGTGTACACCACGCATGGCCCGAGCGGCAAGCACCGCGATTTTTTCAAGTCAAATATCAACTTATTAAGCAATTTGTTTCTTAAATAATAAAACAAAATTAATGAATAAATAATCTTCAATTAATAATATGTCCTAATCATTTTAACGGCCTTGATGATCTTCCGTAGTTTAAACACCGACTTTCTTCCGATTATATTATACGGTAGGTACCAACATTTATCTTTACATGAGTATGATTGTTATTAGTATTGTGTATTTACAATGAATATTATGCATGTATTTAAAAAAAAAGTATTTATATCAATAGTGTAGTACCCATAACACAAACTCTGCTAAGCTTGGGACTACATGACGCCATGTGAATTGTCCTCAGGTTATTATTATTATAATTAATAAATAGTGGGGGACGGCGATTTCGGTAACCCTCAGGCGGGGAAATAGCAAGTTACCTCATTATACATTATGTGCTTTAATTTTGTTAATTTGAGGTAACGTGTGTCATATATGTTTAAGTATTTGACATCTATGTCATCTACATATATATATATATATAAATATATATGTCTATATATATATATATATATAAATATATATGTCGGCAAGTTCTAGTTCCGGGTCAATACATTTCTATTTCAATCATTTGACGGGTAGGGCATGATAAGTATTCGCCACTTGTCCTACATGACGTCACAGTTTTGACCGCAATATGTTCTACTTATTGAATATACATAAGTGAGTACTTACAAAGAATAAATACAATATATACCTACAAATTACATTAATTATTGCTACGACTTTATCCGTCAGATTTAGAAAGGTATAAAGAGCCACAGAATTTCTGTGGCTTGTCATACCTTTCATATATCAAAATCAAAATATAATAATAATTATTCGTGTAGGTCTATTACAGACTCTTATGATATGTCAAATCTACCATCAGTTCGGAGTGCTTATTGCTTCGAGCTTAGAAGAAGTGACAATAAACTCAGCTCGTATTCTTTTCAAATAACGTTTACAATAATATAGATTCATTATTAAATTCAAATATGGGAGAACAGAGCGACCATCAGCATATGCTACTGCAGTTTGTCAAAAGCATTATGATTGAAATTAAATGGATTATATACATTGAAATCCTTCATCCTATCATCTTCACAAATATTGAGTAAGCAAGCGAGTGATAAACACACAAACATGTAGACAAACTATTCGACTACGGCGAAGCAAAAAGGCGTGTTATGAAAATAAAATACGGCTAATGATACTCGCTAATAATATAGCTTTTTATGTGTGAAATATTTTTTTAAATATTCAGTATTTTTTTACCTGTAGGTATTCATTACAAACAAAAAATGAACTTTCTCCTCTTTCTAACACTAGTTTGGATAAAACAATATGACACAATGTATAATATAATAGATGTTTCCTCATTATCCCCCATTTATGGTATACCACCGCTCTCATGAACTTTTTCAGAGTCAATTGAAACCAAGATCAAACAATGGTATGTAAACAAGTGCACTGCTATAATTATTAACTTAACGCGACATAGTTCACAAGCAAGTAAGTAATCCAAATTACACACATTTTATGCCAAGGAGGCGAGGGTTATTTAAAGTAATTGCTGGAGTAATGTGTGGAATATTTATAATACTTTAGACATTGTCGTCTCCGCTTTCCAGTAGGTAATCGGTCCTACATAGAATCGAGAGAATAATCCGCATTTCTGTGCAATGCTTGGAGCAATTGGCGTAATTAGCTGCCAGGTATCAAGGCATCATTAGCATGCTCTCAGGTCGGCGGCCTTTGTTCAACATTGTATTTTTGTGGACCATTATGTAGCAGTGTCTGATAATTGAATAGTTAGAATGTAAGTAAAAATAAATATTCAGATTATTCCTTAATTTTAAAATTATTTATAAATTAGTAATTATTTTATTATGGTTTATCACCAAAGGGTACTACTATTAGTTACTACATAAAAAAAATTATGATGACCAACAATCCATCACTATACAGAAATGGCGGAATGGATTTTTTTAAAATATCTACCTTTTATAGCCTCTAGAATGACACTACCATGAAGGAATCGCCAATAGCAAACTAAAACTTAATCCGAAAGACGACGATAGGCTCGCCACGTTGGATTCCAAACATACCGAGCTGCATTAAATTATATTTAATTTATGACTTGTCCAAATGTGGGTTTGTTATAAATTAAATACCTTCGATTTAATTTTAAATTAATTAAATTATTTGCATTATCTACTCTACACATTTATAATTTGCATAACCTTCTTCTATGGTCCTCATTTACATATATAAATAATAACACCCTGAAACTCCAGACTTTTAATTTCTAAAAAATAATTTAACATACTGTGATCAAAATCGATTGGAAATTTAACATAATCTTTACATAGTAGAAAATTATGTCGCCGCCACTGTGTGCACGCTTAGATCTTTTAAATTGCTTTTTTTTAATAAAACTGTTTTCAGCAATACATTATAATAGTTATTCAAAAGAAGTTTTATAAGTATTATTAGAAGGATAGAGGCTATGTTAAATTATGTTTCATTTGTAGAAAGTTCTCATATGTCCAACAAGGATACTAAATTTGATAGTACTTTAAACTTTCA